ACACAGCACTTATTACCACTGTAATTTTGCATTTAGCCGATTAACACCAATTTCCTCCACTAAATTCTAAGCACCCTTAAGGGCAGGGATCATGACAGTTTTTCATCTTCCAAGCACCTAGAGCAGTACCTGGCACACTGTAAGTACTCAATCAGTCTTTCCTAAAAGACTGAACAGACGGAGTCAGACAAATCCAGTATCATTGCAGCATGATCTTAAGTGAGTGAATTATACTTTAGCTTTCTCACAAGTGAAATGGTAACAAGACGACAATATTTTTCAGAATAACATTACCAAAATGTCATTCCAGGATCTTCATACACAACTTGAAATTACTAGGATATCATTTCTTTTCCTACTATTTTATTAATCAATGACTCATACACACATACACTTACAATTACAGCATATAATCAGTATAAGATAGCCAGTGTTAATTCTCTAAGTTGATGAGATTCCATGTATAAATACGAAAACCATACATATAGTTTATCTGTATAAACTTATCACAAATAAATAAAATTTTAATTAAATGTTCTTAATTTCTGAAAATGCACCTTAAGAACCCAGATACTCTGGATTGGAAATCACTACTACAAGCCCCTGAAGCCTAAAACCAAGCATTATATATTTATGTAATACAAGGGTACTTCAAAAGTTCATGGAAAAATAGAATTGAAAGATAACACAAATCCTTCCATGAACCTTGTGAAGAACCTTATACATACTATAAGGCTCCTAGCACAGGCTTGCAGGAGGCATATGCTAAAAAGACTAACAGATATTACTGGGGAATTATTGATCTGTCAGTTTAATAAGAACTGTTAGCATAATACAATACAAAAAAATAATATTACTGAGAAATCACTAATCCAACATCTTATTAAAGACAGCTGTAATAATATAATACAAATAAAACATTAAATTACAGTAGGATGCAAATATAAAACCAAACTAGAAAAACATCAAGGGTCTCCAAAAATTATAAATTCATACTCTAGAAGCACTCCTTTTTCTTTCCAGAGTACTTTCCTATATCTTAAAAATAGCTAGGCTGCTACAAATCATACTTAATTAGTGCTTCAATGTTACTGAATTCCAGTGTTTTTTAACCGCAGTATTCTCAGAGATAAACAGTTGTCTGCATTTATTAGATACCTATGATGTGCCAGGGACTGTATATAAAAACAAAATCTGTGACTCCCAGGTTTATGTTTAGTGTGAAAGAAATATAATTAAACATACACACACAGGAAAAAAAATTTATAAGAGTATAAATTGTTTTCAGTGGTTATCTCTGGAGCAAGGATTATAAGGCATTTTTATTTACTACATCATACATTCTTTTTTTTTGTCTTTTGTCTTTTGTCTTTTTCCGTGTCCGGCAACGGATTGCAACCCTCAGTGTCACCCCCGTACCGGACTGGGACCGGCAACGGGATCACAACCCTCGGTGTTGCCCCCGCGCCTCGCTCAGCCAGTGAGCGGGAACCGGTCTGTATGTGGGATCCGAACCCTCGGCGGGAGCGCCGCCGCGCTTCCCAAGTGGCGCACTAGTGCAGTGTGCCACCGGGCCGGCCCCTACATCATACATTCTATAATGCTTAAATTTTGTATGATGGGCATATATTCTTAAGTACATTGAAAATATATCAAAAACTGTTTTAAAAGAAAAAATATCACCTGAACAACTTTTAAAACTATCAGTCCACTATTTTTTTCTATACCACCCAGATCTTAAAAATCACAAACTGTGGTTTTAAAATTATAACTATTATAACTACAATAATATATTACACAAAAATTACAATATATAAATAGATTATTTGTGTTAGAGAAATAATTAGAAACTCAAAATGTTGAACATTAAGAGATTAGTTAAATAAACTATAAGACATTTATACCAAAAATACTTTAAAAAGAGGTAGTGTTGGGCCGGCCCGGTGGCGCACTGCGCTAGTGCGCTGCTTGGGAAGTGCGGCGGCGCTCCCGCCGAGGGTTCGGATCCCACATACAGACCGGTTCCCGCTCACTGGCTGAGCGAGGCGCGGGGACAACACCGAGGGTTGTGATCCCGTTGCCGGTCCCAGTCCGGTACGGGGGTGACACTGAGGGTTGTGAACCGTTGCCGGACACGGAAAAAGACAAAAAAAAAAAAAAAAAAAAAAAAAAA